CGCGCTCAACATTCTGAAGCAACTTTCTGCCAAAAACGAAACGAACAAAAAATGAAAATTCAAATCCGTAATTTTTTCGTTTATGCAAATTGATGGGACATTAACCCCAAGTTTGAAATTTTCTGACAATAAACTAAAGCTGAATTGTGTATAGCCATTGAATAGGGATATTTTAGTTTAATGACGTCTACACTTCTTTAATTTTGATTTTGTTTTTCTAGCTTCAAAATATTTCGTTGATCTTGTTTTTTTTAAATGCAGACAACAAATTCCATATTCTAGTACAACTTTCTTTAAATTATTTACCTTTAAGTTAAAAACAAAAACATTTCTGAAGATTAACTGAATTACTCGACTATATTTCTTGTATTTTATTATTTAATCAGCAACAAATTTCTATTTGAATATCTTAGTAAAAGACATTTTTAATTAACTGTTTCCAAGTTAAGGAAAATAATTGTAATGGTTAATGTCAAATAAAACTAAATTAAATTTGTTATTAAATTACATTAAATTTGAAAATAAATAGGTAAAAGTAACTTGATAGTTGTAATGAGGTTAAGGATAATAAATATATAAATAAAACAAATTTCTTTGCAACTAATCTAAAGCTTTTCAAAACTTTTTATAAAACTATGCATTTCTAATTTCAAATTCTGATTATTTTAAAAAATATAACTTAACATGCATTTCTGTTTTATTAAATAAAGCCCAAACGCTGAGAGATTATTTTAAAAAATATGTTTCATTCAAAAAATGGTTTCTAAGCGAACAATTGTTAATTTAATGGTAAATCAATTCACTTATTTATATGAAAGATTTTATAATATTTGACTAATTGGCTTACATTTTCTGTTTTTGCATTAATAATATGGAATTAAATTTCCTTTTCAATTACTATTACAGACTTTTATTTTGAAAAATTTTTTAAATGCCATGAAATATTTGAAAATATTTTATAACTTCGAAAAATCTAATTTGTCTTCTTTTATAAAAATTCGTACATTTCGCTTGAAGAAGAAAATAGTATATGTTTGATTTATTTATTTGTTGATTATGCCAAGCATATAAAAAGTGTAACTAATCACCAGCCGAAATCTAAATTTGTTCTAAGAGATCTAGAGCTAATCTAGACAGTTGACGTTCAAATCAACTGTACAGTTTCCTAAGACCTTATCCTACATTCACACGCAGTGGAAGAGAGAAAGAGAGAGAAGCGCCTAAGAACTTAAAGCAACTCGTGCTTACTGCATCTGCTACTGCATCTGCCACTGCCGCTGCTATTGTTGCTGTTGCTGCCTACTTTTTGGTCGTCTCACGTGGTCCATTCATTCACCTGCATACACAATACATCAATTTAAATCGCCATCAGCCGACAGCCATCACCCATCCAGCCATCAGCCGCCGCCACCGCCTGCAGGTCAAGTGGCCCAAACGAAACTGTTACGTTTGCGAGCCGCTGTTCTAAAACTGTACTTCGCGCTTACTCTCTCTCTCTCTCTCTCTTTACGCTCTTTGTGCTAAATGCGAGTACTGCATGCAGCAGCGCCTGCGCCTGCGCCAGCTTCGACTGCCTGCAGTCAACGCAGACACTACTATCGCGGAAATTTCCGGCTTGTGTTGCTTTTGTTGCTTCTTGTTTGCTGCATTTTTAAAGCAAGAAACACAAACACACACACTCACACTTATACACGGAGAGAGAAGAAAACAAACGAAACGATGCGACGCGACGCATCGCACTAAGTGGACGCTGAGCCCTCACAGTTTGCTGGCGAAGATTTGCGGAATTTGTTTAAGGCGCGCCACAAAGCCTGCAGTCATGCCTTGACGTCGCTGTCAACACACTCGCCGGCCATAGCCAAGGAGCAGTAGTTAATAACAGTTGCAACAACAACAATTGGCGCCACAAATATGCGCACTTCTAGGAAAAAGCTGTAATAGCAAACGTGCATTACAAACGATGCACTTACACAAAGCACTTTGATTGTCAAACCCAAAATTATTCCTCTTTTTTGCACAATATAATTGAGTTTTCATTCATTCAACAATTTTTTTTGTTTAAAGTTAAATATGCTTACACAATAATATTCTGAAGGATTAGTGTACTGGCTACGACTCTATAGTTATTCAAGACTAGACTTATTTAATTAAATTAAAAGTTTAACGATATTTCTATAAAATTTTTTATGTTACTCATAGTAGCTAAAGTTTCAAATCAGGGCAGGAGTCCATGATGCGCCGCTGGAACAACTGAAGAAACCATTTAAAATATCTGATGATACACTCGTTTAAAATACAACTTTTTAATGTTATTTCCCAATAGAAATGAATCCCAAAAGAAATTCGACAGATTTATATTGAACTGCATCAATAAAATAAAATTAAGCGGGTCATAATGGAAATGATGCTTTCTGTTATCGAAAAAGGGAATTAATAAAAAAATGTATTTCTTTGCTAACAAATTTGCAAAGCTTTCCACATTGATTTGAATTTCTATTAGAATTAAGTATTTAAAAAATATTTGTTCTAATATTCAAATAGTTGAAAGGGTAGGGAAGAAAACCAATAAATAAGAACAAATTCATTTTAAATTGCAGCAAGAAAATAATTTAATGAAAGAAGAAAAAAAGAAACTATATAAGTACTTACTTTTTAATTCAGATACGGACACAAACACTATTTTATGAAGAAAATTTTGAACGCAAATCACTTGAAAACGGACGCACACATGAAATTATAAATAAACCCTTTCTTGGCCAGATGTACACATCTTCTTAATGGACTTTATTTCAGATTTCTTTTCTAATTAATTCGATCAGTACTACAAGAGCACAATAAAATATTCTATTACTTCTGCTATTTGCTCAGTGTTTTGTTTATTTAATTATTTCACAAATAAACACATGTTTGCACGATAAAAATAATAGTAGTGCTTTGCTGTAAATATTCAGACAATAGTAATATTCCTAAAAAGTAGCACTTGTAATTATTCCTTAAAAATGTTTAAGCAAATAAGCAGAAAAAAAGGTTTTCAGTTTAAGCACAAACATCTTTTAAAAAAAAAACATCCATAAAATACAAGAAATGTTAAAGAAATTATAAATAAATATATTTAATTTAAAGTGGTGCTGGAGTCAAGCGAGTTAATTTCATAAACAAAACAATTACATACGACAAAGAAGTAGAATAAAACCATTATTTCTACATAGTCTCAGGGACCAGGTACTACATATTGTACAATGTTTAATAAATATTATTCATTTATTAGAAGGCATATTGTATTTACCCTGTTGGATGCTTATTCGCGACCCACGTGCGATGGTGTTGCCAACAAAATTCTCAAGCTTGCTCGCATTTCCCTTTATAAACAAAAAACAAAAAAAGCTTTCCATGCAAAAACTCCTTTCCTTAATGACTATTAACCAGCGAAGACTTCCATCCCCCATCGACAGTATTACCCTGAATTTAGACATAATTTTAAGCTCCATTTTCAGTCACGCAATGTTTTAAGCGACCCCTCAATGTCCCGACGGCGTCAATGTCGCCATCGCCATCGCCATCGCCATCACCATCGCCATCGCTTACGCAATGGCATCACGTCAAATTATGCATGGATTTTGGTGCTGCCACACGTGTGGCATTCATGTGGGCCGTTCGGCAAGCAAGGTAGTGGCAATGGGGGCGGGAGGGGTGTTATGTGCGTTATGAGGTCGCCTGGTTTACGTTGACATGCCAGGGGCCAAACGATCTGTGGCCGCCGTTCCGTTAGCGGCTTAGTGTGGGGTGCAGGAAGATGGGAGCAGGGAGCAGGGAGCTGGCGAGGAGTAGGCGCCTCATCATAAATTGGCATTAGTTTTACGCAGCTAGGCTAAGAGCATGAGTGGGTAGTTGGGCCATTTGTTTGGCGTTTTGTTGTGGCCTATTAGGGCGGGCATGCAAAATGACGCGTTTTTCTGCAACGCTGCCGGCTGTTTTAATAACTTTTATGCGTGTTTGCATATTGGCAATTGGGCATCGAGCTGTAGCTCCCCGGGCCGCTTAGCGTTTGTGAGATAGCGGATTTATTCATGCTCACAAAATGTGGCCAAAATAAACTAGAGCGCAAAATTGTTTGATGAACTATGGATTGCGGCTTTAAATTGGTTTTTTTTTTCTTTTTAATAATTGAAACGCTTTTGGAGTATTTATTTATTGCATTGCAAAGAGATTTAAAAGACAGGCAACATTAAATAGCTTTTTATATGGATAAGAATATACATTTTTGGCCTTCCCCCTACTACGACTACTTTTTTTTGTATCGATGCGTTTTTAAATATGTTAAGAAATTTACTTTCTAGATTTTTGAATTGAAACTTCTTATGTGACGGTTTTGAATGCTGGATCGGCAGCTTTTTCTGTGACGAAACCAATAGCTCGGTAGCAGGCACACAGAAATGAACAGGAAGTAGACCAGCGGCATAATTGAAATTATGAATTTAAACAAAAATAATCAGTCGCCATTTCTTGTGCTTTTCGGATTTTCCAGGAATATTTTAACTGCTTTTTCTAAGGCTCTAAATCTATTTGTGACGACGGGTTTTCTGTTTACTTATTGTTAACGCATTTTAAATATATTTTGCAGCGGGTTTTATATCCATTTATGTAGCGTGTCTTATTACTTTTTATAGCGTTATTTCTATACATATTCTAGCGGATTTTCTATATATTTTTAGGGGTTTTCTAGATTATCTCTTATCTATTATAATTTATGAACTGGTTAATTTTTAGCGGATTTTCTATGCTTTTTCTAGCTTCTTATAATTGATTTTCTTGCTTTCTTTCTTCTAGCGGGATTTCTAGCTATTCATAGCGGGTCTTAAGCCATTTTCTAGCGGTTTTGTAGCTCGATAACCGTAAGCGATCATCCTTTGGCGCCATTCTGCTCAAGCCAAGTTTTCATTGGCCAACAATCATTGATGACCAATAAAAAAAACAAATCAATCCATCCATTTAACCATCGGTGAAAAGTACATTAAGTTAACTTTTTATTACAATTATTAGTACAATAAGCTAACAATTTGATAGATTATTCACACATTCGTAGTTGTTGTTTACATTGTAGTCTTAAATCTAAATCATGTGAAAATCTGCATGTATAAATGCAAAGTAAATAATGCCTATGGCTAGGCAGTACAAGCAACTGCTTAGCTCCTTCTTCGCTGTCTGTCTTCAATTCTCATCCGTCAATTTCTGCGCTAATCTCTGTATTTCTGAGGTTCATCCGAGGTTCATTCACTTCTCCGGCACATTGCATTGGATGCAGTCCTCCATTTGCGCTGTATAATCCTCAATTTGGATGGTCGTCTCAAAGAAATTGTAACGCAAATGCACCGCAGTGGTGGCTGCGTCCAGAATCTGCTTGGGATTCGCATTGGCAGCTGCAACGAAGAAATTGTTTTTAAAATGGGATTCCGAAAATGTTCGCGACCAAATTTTTGGGGCTACGCTTAAAAAGCCATTTGAAAAATAATTAAGCTAATTGCACCCTTCGCATGAACGAGGCAACCACCAGCAACAGCAACAGCGTCAGCGTCAGCAGAACCACCAGCAACAACGATAGCACACAAATCCATTGAGATAATTACCATATAGATACTATATGCACACACACATACACTTAGTGTCCATGGCTGGCTACTCACCAATTGCCAAATGGGCAGATAGCGCCACTTTATTGATGCTCAGGGCCCAAATGCGAAGATTGTGGACGCGCTCCACGCCTTGAATACCCTTGAATATCTCCAGTACTTCGGCATAATGCATATAGTTGGGTGTGCCCTCCATGAGAACCTGGGAAAGTACAAATAACAAATTAATATATATATAATTTATTTAAAAAGTGATCTTTCTACATTTTTTACAATATTTGAGGTAATTTCTTGTATTAAAAAGATGGCTTTAAATTAATAACGAATTATTTTGATTAGAAATATGTTGTGAATTTTTACAAAATAATCTCTAACGAATCTTTTTAACTTTTAAGCAAAGTTTCATTTGTTAATTGATTGCATATGCTCAAAAAATATATTATACATATTTCCTGTATGTAAATGTTATATATAAGAAAATAATTAGTATTTTTATTATCAAAATAAAGAGCTAGTTTACCATAAATTTTAAATTAATGGCGTCGATTTATTTTATGAAGCTAAGGGTTTGTTTTTTTACATCATTTTCATGAATGATAATTGATTATAGATGCCCAAAAATGTACTTTCTTTTATTGCAATTTAAATGTTATATATTTTAAGACAATAATTAAATAATTTTGCTATTTAAATGTTATATATTTTAAGACAATAATTAATATTTTTATTATCAAATTAAAGAGCTAGTTTAGCGTACATTTTAAATTAATGGCGCTGATTTATTTTACGTTCTTGAAAGGTTTTTTATATCATTTCCAATGAATTATTTCCAAATACATATCAAGAATTAAATTATAAACCATGCTCTAATAGAATTTCGTTCGAATCAAAACAACTTCAACTGAAAGCCTTTTATATAAATCCGGTATAACTATAAATGGTAATTAAATTATTGCTTTAACAAAGTTGTGGAAAAGCTCTTTTTAAAGTGAACGTGTTTACGATTTTAAAACCAATTCATATCTACGTGGAATTCCTAATAAAAGATTTATTTTTGGATTAATATTAAGCACTTTTACTAAACATCAATAAAATCGTTCAATATTATAAACAATAAAGAAACTAGGCTATTTATTATGCGATCTTTATTAGAACGATTCTTCTAATTTCAGGTATTTTATGTTATAGACTTAAGCCACTTTGATATCAGAAAAATATTAAAACTCTTAAATCAAGGCTTTCATGCTAATAATCACGACTTAAGGCTAATAATTTTAACAAACAACATTCTGCTACGCCTTCCTCCAAATGTGGTTTGTAAACTGTTCAAATGCAAGCAACTTGATTTGCTTTAATAATTTCTTAAGGGGATAGCTATATATATAATACGTAGTACTTATCCAATATGAAAAACGTATTATTGGAGCGTTTCCAAAGCTAACAGAGATACCAACAAACCAGAATACGCAGAACAAAGCGTATTGCTGTAGAGCTAGCGACTCAAATGCTCGTAAATTAGGTAATTAAAAAATATGCAAAGAATTTTCAGCCACATGTCTACTTATCAAGGTCTGATATGGTATCTATTTAATACCCCTAGCGTGGATTCTACAATGCCCCTTTCCCCCCTCTGTATTATACTTAGTATGCAGAGTATTGCTTTACTCACCAGCAAGGCATCCTTCATTATGGTAAAGGTAGTGAAGAGCACAATGATGGAGAAGACAAATGTACAAATCGGATCAACGATGGCCCATTCTGGCCAAAAGTAGATGACACCGGCAGCCATAAAAACGCCCACACTCTGAATCATATCGCCAATGACATGGATAAAGGCAGCACGCACATTCATATTAACGGCTTCCCGTCCAGCATCGCCGCCATGATGGTGGGCGCCCGGTGCCGTTTCGGCCATAACAGCAGCCACATCCAAATCTCGTGTCGATGTCACTAGCTTCGAGTTCTGATAACTAAAGCTAGGCAGACCGCTGGCGGGCAGCTCTGCATCCTCTGGTGCTGTCGGATCGAGAGCCACGCCGCCCTCAATACGATAGGTGGGCGAGGCGCTGCAGGGTGTTAGTGTGGTGCCTTGTGCATGAGCCAATTGAGCAGCAGTTGGCAAAGCATTCTCCTTATTCTTTTGCTTCTTGGAACTCTTGCCACCGCCGTGACTGTGACCGTGACCGCCGCCATCGCCACCCCCCAGGCCATGCGAATGGCCGTGTTGTAGCTGCACGCCCATGCTGGAAAGAAATGCACAAAATTGAAAATTGAAAATGTCAGCGTCAAATATTTAATATACTTGAAAATGTAGCGCAGCTATGCAATGAAGAGAGAATGCAGATGCAGCCCACAAAATAAGCAACAAAAAATGTTGCCTACTTTTTTGGGCAATCCGGACGGCGACTGCAGCCGCAGCGGCAACGGCAACGGCAGCACCATCGGCATTGTTTGCCATTTTATTTCGCATATTAATGCAGTAACACACAAACAACAGCAATGCATACCAACTACAACAACAACAATAGCAACAACAAACACCGCTAGTGCTGTCACACTAGCCGTTTCAAAAAATTCTCATCAATTTTAAGCCGCAGATTTTGAATATGAAATACTTGTATGTTTTTGAATTGCAAAAAACATTTCTCATCGATCATGAAATAGAAACAAAATAGAAATAGAATGGAAAAATAGAAGAAACACAATAGAACAAAATATTATTTGTTCACAAATTTAAAGTCAACTTTAAGTATTGTTCATACGGCAGGTGTGTTTATTTGAAGACAACATTTAAACTCATTGTCTTTTTTTTAAATCAAAAAAATTTAAGGAGTTTTTCTATTTATCATTAAAATTTTAGTACGGTTTAGGTCAGTTCTAACAAATAGCACTAGGCACAAAAAGAAAATGTCTTGACCTTTTTCAACAATTGTATACAACTATACTATATTTCCAAATGAATTATAGTTTTATTGGATAAGCAATTTGATTAGCTTTCCAACTTATTGTTAATACTAACGTCAGCTATCGCTCATGAGATTTGGTCGAAGCTCTCAATATTTGTCAACTATAGTTTATAGAGAGAAGTTATAGTTGAGAGGGCATGTCTTATTCCAATTCCTCATCACTCAAACATAAGTAAATACATATATAAATATATTAATTAATTAAAGAATAAATAAATAAATAAATTCAGAAACAAATAAATTAATTAATAAATAATTTAACAAATAAATAAATTAATAAATAAACGAGCAAATAACTAAATAAATAAGTACACAATGGACAAAATCGAGCCACTTTTTTAAAAATGTATTTGTATAACAATTTATTTTTGCCAATGTAATAAAACAAAATAAAAGGTGAATATAATAAATTTCAAGTAATTAGAAAGAGTATGACTTGTCATTTGTTTTCATTTTTAAGATATTTTAAGATATATAAAATAATTCTTAGATAATGTAATAATCCTCAAAATATACTTATTAACTAGAAAAAAGTTTCAAGAATAGTCCCAAATCATTTAGTCTTGTGTAGTGAATCAAAAGCACTGAAATGTTTCAAACTTAAGCTCATATTCCAGAATAATTCATAAAGTCAAAAATATTTAGAAACAGTGTAGCGCAGAAAAAGAAAGAAGGAAAGAGTTAGAAAATGTCTACAAATACAATAAATGGTTATATTTTTAAACAAATACCGTAATAAAATGATGTGTTATTTTGTTGTAACTAATTTTGGATTATTTTGTTGAAAGAGCATCACTGACGCAAAGGCTCAAAGCCCTTAAACATACACACATACGCACACACACACATACATAAATACGTTGTTCCACCGGAAGATGTGCGAGCGACTGTTATAGCCGCTCGACTGCTGCCCTGCCTGCCGAATTCGGCCGGATGTACGGCATGCAAATACAAATGTATTGTCGAAATTGGCAAGCGCCCGTGCCAGCAACTGAACATAACCTACATGCCACGCCCACTCACACGTACTTCCATACACACACACACACACACACACACATGCAGACAGGGCCGTTTGTGTCAGGCAGTTAATAGCTCGCCACATTGACTTTTTATTCATTTTAAATGCTCCGACATTGCAGATTTATGGGTTTTCTATTTTAAAAAGGCCATGGTCGTTCGTTCATTCGATCGGTTCGCCTGTCCGTCGGTCCGGCGGTCGTTCGGTCGGTCGGTCATTCGACGCGGCTGCTGCACTTAGCCAGCTTTTTCAATGCATTTTGGCTGTCCGGCAAACAATGAAACGCGCATCAATAAATAAACTGGGCATGAATTACGCAAAGAGTTGTCGAGTGGCTTGGCAAGTGGCATGAGATGTTGTAGGAGTTGTGTGCCATTGCCCTCAACCGATGTGCAACTAATTGATGTGACGTCAGGCTAGAATAAACCACACTAGAGGGCAGTTTCAAAACTAATCTCCCCTTAAAAAATAATTTCTCAACTTCTTGGCTTGTTAAAAATTTCCTACTTACAAATGAAAACAACTTATGAATAAAAGACAAGCTATATTTTTCACGACTAATATAAAATAGGTATCTATATGTAATTCAAAGTTATTTTTATTTGCCATCAATCAAATTATAAATATGTTAGCATTAGCTGAAATAAAATGAAATTCTAGCACTTGGCTTTTAAGCCTTGCAGAAAAGCAAGAGTATACCAATCCCTACCGATTAATATACAGACCTTGTTTAAAATATAAACATATTTAATTTGCAGCCTAAAGAAATTTGTTGGTGCCTTGCAAAATGTTTAAAATAAATATGTGTACAGTACCCTCCTGCTTGCATAGGAATAGAAGCAAATAAATAAACCAATAGAAAAGGATATATCAGAGAAGGAAATATGTATCACATTTAAATGAAGAAAGAGAAAGTAAATAAAACCCAGCACGTTCAGATGATAGAAACTCTAAACTGAAACGATTTATAGCGTTTGAACAAGAAAGAACTTCAAAAAGGACTCCCATATGCTAGCAAGTTGAAATCGTTAGTTCTGGTCTGCTCAACGAAAGGTGATGATGATGATGAGGGAGTTGAAAAAACACTTACACCTTATAAAGCGTGCTACAAAAAAACTATTATAGCAACTAAATAATCGAGCACCCAAAAAAAATGTTTTTAAATTAATCTGGTTAATATATTTAACACTTGAAGTACCTTTTTGTTAATTTTGAAAATGGTTAGCACTTAAAAACAGCGCTAATTTGAACAGCAACTTTTTTTAGGTCTAGGTCTAGGTCAATTTCTGATTTAAAACCAGGTTTTCTAGGAAACCAAACACCATGTTAAACGAGTGCTAGATGTTTGTGTTGTTCGTTACTAAAAGCGCTAATACTTAATATTATTTTATTTAATAAAATAATCAATATACAAATATTATTAGAAATTCTACAAAAACTTTTCGGTTTTACTCGTTAACAATTAATTAGCCTTGTATGGCTTAAGAACTTGTCATTAGATATTTAACTGGCTTTTAATTCACTTTTTATTTATCTCAAAACCTGCATTTATATCAGAGTAGTAATTGTCTAATGACAGCCAAACTAACTCTGACATTATCAAACGTCTTTAGTGACAATATAAAATGTAAAAATAAAAGCAACCTTCAGAAAATGCGAATAGAAATTTGTGACATTTGGCTGCTTTATCCATTTACAAAATAAATCAAATCGATTATAGTTCGTACAGCCCACCTATATATAGACATATGCTATATATATATATATATAGATATGTACATGCTCGTATAAAATAGCACTCAGTTGTAAAATGCGCGTTAAGACGACGTAATAAACGTGCCGGTGGCCGAGTTGTTCTCAGCTCAGGACTTTCCATGTGTGCTGCAGCTTAACGAGCAGTTGAGGCGTTGGTGGCCTGCTGGTGACAATGTTTCCTCTATAGCCAAGTACTCAAGTAGCCAACACACAACCACCACCAACCACAGCCAACCAGCAGCAGCAGGAGCAGCAACACCACCGCCAGCTGCTTGGTCACATACGTTCGAGGGGAGACGACACTGGCAGCCAAGAAGATATGCGCTAATATTTATGTTCCTGTCAATTAAATCAGGACATGGCGTATACGCCACGTTGCCAAGCAGCACGAGTTACTGCTGCTGCTGCTGCTGCTGCTGATTCTGATGTTGTTGTTGCTGTTGTTGTTGCTGGCAGTCTGCTGGTGTTGGCGTTGTCATGGCTGTCGTTTGTTGGCCACTAACGAGGCGAGTAAAGATGCCGCAAAATCAAGGGAAATGCTTCATTGCGCGCTACAAATTACGGCGACGCAGTTGGAACAACAATGGAGCGATGCTGCTTGGTCTGCTGATGGCTTCAGCACGAGCGGAATGTGCAGCGGCAGCGACTAAAGCTACAGTTACGGCCACAGACGCAGCGCAGTCGGCAGCGTCACGTTGTCACACAAACACACACACACACACACACATACACAGGATAGAGGAAGCAGCGAGGAGCATGCAGCATTGGCATTTTTTGCGCTCGAGCGCGCCAACTCACACACACATACATACATAGAAGAGTACAGGAAAAATACACACATGCCGCACAGTGTGATAATCTGTGCTAACGGCAGCATGCAATAAAAAAGGATATCAAAGGATTTGGTTTTGTGCAAAAAACGTGATCAGCTTGGAATACGCAAATAATTACACTTCACAGGAAGCTCAAATAACAAGCACTATTATTGAATATTCGTAACAGCTTTTAAGTAAACACATTTTAAGCTTTAACTTCAAATCTCAAACATATACAAAAATTCTCGCTGCCAATTTTCACAGGTGCTACAGAAATCTGTTTTGATAATATTTGAGATAATATTTTGTCTTGAAATTCGATTAACAACACTAACAAAACAATCATTGAAATACAATCTCTCTAGCTTTTCCCAACAATCTGCATTAAAAATACTTTACCTTTCGTTTTTGTGTATTATTTAATTAAGTAATTCCTAAATCTTTAGTCACAACCGAACAATAATAGTTTGGTATTAGTTCAACAGTTAATATTTCCACATCAACAACTTAATTTCTAAGCTAAGAACCCACTACACTGATTTAATAATTATTCTTTAAATAAAACAACAATTTATATATTTTTCTGAATTGAATCTTGTTTTAGGAATTAAATGAAAGTTAAAAATAAAACTCATATTTGTTTCAATTCTAATTCAATTATGAAATAAGAATTACGTTTCTCCTCC